CTGGGGCTGCAGGTGGCAATGAGGACGGACGTGCAGGGCCTGGGCCACCGGCGCTGCGTGCCCTGCCCTCTCGTGGGAAATAAACCTTTAACTTTGGTTTTCACACCAGGAGGCCGCCTGCGCTTTGCCGTGACCCCACGCCGTCTGCTGTGGGCGGGGGTGGCCCCGAGGCCTCTGCCCTGTGCGTTCCCTCCTCCCCCATCAGCAGAACCACTTGTCCGAGAGGCACGGAGCCGGGCAGAGGGGGCTGGCTTCCCACAGGCAGCCCGTCACCCGGCTGCCTGGCTGCTCTGCCACCCACAGACCTTCCTCGTGGACGTTCACATGTGGCCTCCCATGGCAGGGCCTGTGGTCAGCCAGCTCAGACTGAGTCCTCATGTTGTGAGGCCAGTGGGTGCTTGGTGCCTGGCTTGGGGTTCTAATTGGGGTGTGAACAGTTGTCCTGGAGGTGCCCTCGCACCCATGGTCAGGTGGGCCTGTGCTGGCAGGGTCACGAGAGCCCGATATTTGGGGGCATTGGCGCAGGAGACCTCTCTCGTTTCACCCGGACTCGATGCCAAGTGCTGCCTGGTGCTGGGAGGACATGGCTCCCCCCCTCTGCTCCCTCACCAGGGGGCATGCTGGGCGCTGGCCTCCACCAGTACAGCCGGAACACAGCGGGCATGGTGCCGAAGGGCCCCTCATGCCCCATGCCCGTCCCAGCTGTTGCCCACTCCTCCTCGTTAAACCCTCTCTGCTCACAGGCTGAGGTAAAGGGGGAGCCCCCAGGCACCAGTGCATAGGACACAGTCATTTGCACAGCCAGGGGTGGGGGGCAGAGAGAGACGGCGTTCTGAAGCTGGTGATTCCAAGCCCAGGCAAGATGGGGCACCCCAAGGTGAAGGACCAGCAGGGACAAGCACCCGGGGTGCAGAGCCAGCTCGGGTCTGGGAGTCCCGCTAAGGAAGTGTGAGCTGCCCACCAGCCCTGCTCTCAGCCCACAGGTTCCTGGGTTCCGATCCATTCTCTACCTGGTTCCTTTCTGTGACTCAGTGATGGCAACACCCCCTGCTGGGGGTCCATGTGACCTGGTCACCGGTCAGTGCTCAACCACAGAACCACGCTGGCCAGGCTGGTTGGTTCCTTTTCTAGCTGTGATTTTCCTGGTACGATGGGTGATTTTTATTGTGTCCTGGACAGTTAGGCGATTGGGTTTGAGGTTTATTCTAGCGACAGCCATCCTGTTGGCTACGCACACAGGTCCTGTGGCTCCCATGACGGGCGTTGCCAGGCTTTGCATCACTGTTGGCCTCGTGCCACCCGTCTCTGCTGTGTCCCAAGGTGGGGGGGGGGGTTGGGAGGTGCTTGGTGGTGGGCGCCCCTTGCCAGTGCCTTCGCCGCCCTGTAGCCAGTGGAGCGAAGTGGGCTCCCCTTGTCGGGCCTCCCGGGTCCTCCCAGAGTTGGCAGGACTGCATTCCTCGGGGGCAGAAAGTGCCTGCCTGGTCCTGGGGGTCGGCTGGGCCCTCCTGTCGGGGCTGCCCTGGGGTCCCTCAGCCCTGAGCTCCCTCACTGTGGGGCTTCCGTGAAGTGGTCTTGTTTCC